TTGGAGCGCTCAATTCATTCTTACTCCACTCGATCAATTCATTCTTACTCCACTCGACACTAACTTAAATGTAGGAGGGGACGAGTCAAAACAAGTAACCCGCCAAGGATCAGTCTCAAAGACGAGGCTCGAACCCAATTTGACCCGGACTTTCACTATCAAGCATACGACCCGAACTTTCACTATCCAAGCATTCATTAGTAATTTTGTACATTTCGGATTGAATTGAATCGTGCTAACACCGACAATCTAAAGTTTTTCAACATATATCATTTAAGAGAATTATTGACCAGCAACATATAATATCTAAATTGTAAGTGCATAATTATCTCGAAAGAAAGAAAGAAGAGGAGAATTAGATTTATTATCTTCCCTTTTTCTTATATTTTAACTACTTTAAATGATTGAATTAGAATAATAATTAACATTAAAATATGAACTAAGAAAAAAAAATCTATAATCTTTCAACATATAATATAATATCATATTATGTTAAGAGCTTCGAGTAGGCTCGTCGACGGCTGCTCCCACCTCGATGGCCCGCCAACCGTTCGACAGAATGCAGGAGAGGACCATCTTCTCGTGGAACGCCCTCTCGAAGACCATCTTCTTGAGGTAAAGAGATTGTTCCAATCGATGCCCCGGGAACTATAATTGCATGTCAACTAACGTGGGGTGTTCTCCTAGAAGCAAGCTGAATCCACTGCAAATGTCGAGCTTGCTAAGGAGAGAGCATGCGTCCGTCCCCGTGAGCTTCAGTCAGTGAATGCAGGGACACCCAAGATGTGGGAATAGGTGACTGGAGCGAACAAGCTTTCGGAATCCAGGGGACTGCCGAAGGTGCCTGGCTGCCGCTGAATCTTGCTGGGGCACAGCGAGAAATTGGTCATGCTTAAAGAACTTTCAAGGCACCGGGAGGATGGTGTCGAATGCTCGTCAATGATGAACGGGACTTAAGAGGCAGTTGACTAATAACTGATAGCAGCTAAGGTTTTCTTTTCCTAGCTATAGAGGGAAATCTTTGGTAAATTGGGAGTATATATCAAACATAAAAATATTTTCTTCGTGTTTTATTCTTTCATGGTATCAAAGCCTCTCTTGTTTTAGCAAGATTTCTTCGGAACGATTACTTTGATCTTCTCGACGATAGCAAATCTCTACTATTGCATAGTGTACTCCCATCTTCCCTACGAGAAATGCACGTTGCTCGATGCACCCTTCTTCCCTCGACCCTTCGTGATAGCAGCTAAGATTTTTCTAACTATACGAGGAAATATATTATTCATGTTTCATTCTTTTAATAACAAGATCAAGCATTGATTCAGTAAAGAGCATCAAGAATCCAACAGGGGGGTGTCTTCATCCAGAGAAATCTTTTGATGGTAAGAATTGGAGCCGAACAAATAGATAAGGCATATTAATTGACTGTCGCAAAGCAAATAATTTGGTGACAGACAACACTAAGGAAGCTGAACAAGAGTTTCTTAGTTTGATGAGAGCAATTAAGGAGCCTTGTGGTATCATATAGAAAAGTGCAATGTATGGAAGAATAATCAAGTATTTTCTTTCGAAGAGAGAAGTGATGTTCTGGAGACGAGTCTGCAGATTCAATTGATATGATGTCATCAAATCATAATGTCAATTATTTCCTTGTAAAGATTCAAAATTTTGGTATTGAGACTTTGCAGAATATTCTGCTTCCAGTCAAAGAAAGAAATGGAGTAAATGTTTATCAGTATGCACAAAAGCATGAAACATTCATATACCAAAATGAGCATGATTATCATATAATTACTGCATAAAATTAATATTCCTGCCATATCCAAACTTTGCATATCTTACATATAATTCAATGTATCAGAGTAAATATTTTCCATCCTACTTGTCATTATTGCTAGGAACCTCATAAATATTCATGCTCATCTCATCTACCCAAGCGTTCTACAATCCATCAGCAGACATGAAAACCATGAGTGCAGCTTTGGCCCTTCTCTTTCTTGCAATCCTTCTGCCTCTTCACCACTGTAAGCAACTCTGACACTTGTGTTTGATGAGTTCTTATAATATATTGGTTTTTGTAATAGACATTTTGTATTTAGATATTCTGCTTTGATTTTTCATCCCATAAAAGTTAGGTTAATATATTTTGGCTAAAAGGAGTGTGAAGATTTGTGACAGCTTTTTTAAGGTAAACAAACATATGGTGACAGTCAGTGGCTGTAGTTTTTTTTCGGTGTCACGATAAGATTGTGTATATTAGGGAGATATTGCCTCAGTGAGGGTTTCATTCACTATATTCTGACATATTTGTCGTTGTTTCTTTTAGGCCGCGACATAAACACAATGGATGAGAAGGTAACAAAGACAAGCCCTGAGAGTACTGAAGGTGGAATTGAAGTTGCACCACCTTGCTACACTAATAGCTGCTCATATGGAACTTGCACTTGTTGTTCATCAAGTGAAGAGTGCTATCCTGCCAGATCGGAGTGCTTGAAACATTGTCCCATTGGCAAATGAACCAATTTGATGTCCCAAAGGTTCATTTAAAGTAGATGAATAAGAGCTTTTGTCAGCTATTAGAAAGCTGATGAAGTGCATTTTTCAGATGCATTGCATGTTGTTACAGTTCTGCAATGGTCAATGAAAGATGGAATTCAATTGGCTCCTCCATGACTCTTTTTCTTCATGACATCCTCCATAAATAACTCCATCATGGCATTCACAGCTACTGTGAATGCAGTCATGAATGCAATGCTGTGAGTGATAGTTCTAGTGAATTTAATATGAGAGATTGAGAGGTTTGTAGGATATAATTTGGAATCATTGATTGTCATTTCATATGGTTTGTAGGACTTTGCATTGACAAGCAGGACCTCACCAAGGACAGGAACTCCTCCAGTCCCTAACCTGAACACAGACTGGAGTTGGGACTCTCTCAACCTGAAACAGCAGGGACAAGCAGAAACCATCTTCTTCTCAACATTTATCTTTGCCTGTGAGGACAGTGGAGGACCAAAGCATGCTTTGTCTATCTGTACTGAGAACAGAAGAAAAGGCCCTTTCAACTAATGTCTCCCATCTATCAGGTTGAATTTGATATGAGATTTCAGTAAGCTCAATCATTGGCAGTAAGATTTTGGGATGCATAATAGTAGGATCTTCTTCAAACTAGTGCAGAATCTTAACTCAAACCTTCCACAAATTTCTTTATCAGGTGAGGCAACTTTCAACAAAATTAACTTGGTTTCATTGTCCGAATCGGTGTTCATCAGTCTGGAGTTTGGTTGAGGATCATAATGAAAGATTATTTGGGCATAATAGATGACAAGGACATCATGATTGGTCAATAATATTCACAAAACAATTCAGTTGAAAATGATTGCTATTGTCCCAGTCACAATGATGAACAAAGCCAATTCAATCAGTGGCTTCATGGAAGAATCAACCGAACAAAATATTCAGGTGACATGAAATTTTTGTACTAAATTGTTAGAGAAGTTAGCATTTTTGATGGAATTCAGCAAGAAATGGAACACTGGAAGACAAAGAAAACTTGATTGATGCATGTGAGTAAACAGGTCTCTCATGCTGCTGCAAATCTAGTTCTGAACTTTCTGAGATTAGGTCGGCTGCTCGTCGCTATCATTATACCCTGAGATGGTGTCTTTCAAGAGCTAACAAGATGTGGTCTTCACTAACAAAGCCAAAAACAATCAGACTCTTGACAATTAATCATCCACATTGCTTTCAAACTCAATAAATCGGATTGGGATATAAATCTAGCTACCACTACAAACATGTGAATGTTCAAAGGAATCTTGAGATGCTTTGAGTAGATTTGCAGAACAAGTCACAGGGAGCTTCAAGAACTAATACTTCTGTTCATGATCTAAGAAACACAGTTCCTGAGTCCATTATTTAAAGCCTTCCCACATGATTGATACATGACACATTGTCTGAAGCTATATACTTGATTTTGTTTTATGAGATCATGGGCCACATTAAGACAAGTATATACAATACAAAAATCACTAGTTGCTGAGGATGATCCACCAGACATTGAGCAAACACAGTTGAAATCAGTTCTGAGGAGAAACTTACTGCATCAACACTTGTTGCATGCAGAGAGTGACATTTTTTATGACAGATACCTTCCCAAGCCCTCTTTCCCACATGATAAGATCTGTTTCACCATATGACTCAAATTAAACATTTCCAAAAATGAACATTTTTCATTGGAAAAGAAAACATTAAAAAAAAACCCAAAAGACAGTACAACAGGTAAAATGGAAACTGCAAACATATTTGGTAATGTAAGATATACATGTGATCTACCAAAGCATCAAATTCTTTGGACTGTTCTTGATACTAAAACTCAAATTTAATTATGCATCTTATATCATCATAGTTGTGTGGGCCATTGCGCATCGATCCGTTGCATCATACAAATCGATACTGTCACCTAACATTCATGCTGAAGAATATCTGTGCATAGGAACATAAATTATCAGGTAAAAAGATTAAGTATAAATACATACATGTCACTTTCTCTTTAGTAGCTTCTTTGTTGAAGTCGGTCGGTCGAAGAATGAATTCATGTCGTAGTAGGAAAGGGATTCTGATACAAGTAGTGATCCTAACTTCACAGGTTATCGATTAACTCCCCAGTCCCAGATTCAATACTGCTGTCTGAGTTGTTGGCAAGCTTGTGAAGGCTTTCCACATGTCGAAGACCTGTCGTTGTGCAGGAAGAAGGAGATGAATTTGCCAAAGAATGCCTGACATGGAATATAGAATGTCGAGTTGATTCAGTGGTGACAGATGAGATTAGGCTGCTGATGAAGTGTGAGAAGGCCATTAAAAATGCTTGTTGTCAGGAGTAGCCCCCACTGTTTGGAAGCTGTCTCAGTTCTCATCAGAGAAGTGATGCTTTCTAATGCATGTTAGGTCAAATTATAGGTTTCTTTATGATTCACGTTTACTCGACTCTATCCACCTCTATCAGGGAATTGAACCTCGAACTACGGTGATGGGAACAAACAAGCTGACTTGGAATACCAACTAGAGATGAAGATTACCGGATAGATTCTCATGCACCTCGATTTCTCTGTCCCCAACTTGGACGCAGATGCTTTGCTCCAACTATATTCCTTCCTCTCTCAGCTCTTCAGTGGAAACACCCGACAAGAAGCTCAGTCAGTGACTTGCTAAAGTCTTTGTTCGTCCAGGAACAAGCGCCATGGAGCAAGCAAGATGCTGGATGTGGACAAGAACAAGACACAGTGGCAGGCCTCACCTCAGCGCTCAGATCCCCGGAGTCGTCCTTGGATCCTCCAGCAACGAGTCATGGGAGGAGAGAGCCTTCGCGGAAGACGCCGCAGGCCGCTTAGGAGGCTGCACATGGCCGCCGAGGTCGTACTCGTGCAGCTTTTGCAGACGGGAATTCCGATCGGCGCAGGCACTTGGTGGGCACATGAACGTGCACCGGAGGGATCGAGCGAGGCTGAAGCAGTTGTCTTCGAGCCTCGGCGAAGAGACCGCCGAAGCCGAAGATGAACAAGTGACGGGTGCAGAACTCCGTCCTCAGGTCAGCCCTAACCCTAGTTCCAGGTTCTTGCCACCACCTCTCTCTCCTAGGGTTTCTGCTCCATCCATCCAAGAGAACTGGCCCGACAACACCTTGATCTCTCCACCATTTTCTTCGTCTATCGCTCGAGAGGACCCCAATGAATCGCTGTTCTCCACGACTAGATCTCTGCACCATCCTACACTTCTCCATCTACTTATTGTACCAGAATCCAAGCTCGGGGAAACCAATTTAGGGTCCAACGGATTTGGTTTTCGGAGTCGGAGAGATCCAGGAATCTATGATGAGCAGACCAGCTGTTACAAGAGAAGTAGAACCGAGAGACCCTCTTCTTGTGAGCAGCAACAAGTGCAGTCTGAGGTACCTGATCACAACCATCTGGAAGAGTTAGATCTTGAGCTGAGGCTTGGAAGCATCCCAAAGATGTAGTATTTCTGATTGAATCAGTATGTTCTAAGTAGTAATTTTTCTTTTCCCAATTTCTTCACCTTTAGTCTCATCTTTCTTCTGAAAAATGCCTGTTTCATCTTCGATTTATGGATAGAAACTCAGATTTGGAGCTTCCTTTTCACCATAGACTGTAACCACAAAGCATTGATGTAGATCAAGAAATTAGAATAGAATATGAACTAAGGTTTTCTTGCATTAGCACAAGGATTTCCTACCACAAAAGGAGTTCAAGTAAACCCTTTTAATGGAAAATATCTTACAATAGCATCGGTAGATCATGGACTGCAACCTGCACAAGCGTGATGTGAATGATAAACGTGATAGTTTATTAGTAGTGTTAGGATTTTCTTCTTGTAAGATAAGCATGCAGACGCAAGCAATATCATCAACAGACTATACCTGCGGTGATGTTTCTTTCACCAACTGAGTTTTCTCCCCGGAGGAATCATATTGTTCGGTCAGTTCATAACATAAACATCTCATGTCCTTATTTGAATTCATGCAATACTCTCTTATGTGAACTCTCTCTGTAGCATAGAATTATGCATTTATATTCATTGACTTGTAATCCCAGAGTAAATGGCTTGAGAATTGTCTACATCAAAGATTTCTCGTGTGTATATTTGCTAGTGTGTGAGGTGGAATGAGGAGAAGAAGCTGAAAAGAGATGGAATTTAGAGTGCATGGGATGTAGTGATTTGTTTCATAGTTCCATTTTTTTCCAGCCTGGTATAAATAAACTCACTGACTGACACATTCCAGCAATAGAACTAAAACACTCAAATCTGAGTCTGCTTTAGAATGTATGTATATGCTCAAACGCATCTAACACCCGGATTCCCTTTTTCTGAGGCATTCCAGCGCATGAGTCAGATGTCTCTTCTTCATAAATCTACATGTTTGCTTCTGCATTTTTTGCCTTCCCCATGGCTCCATATCCGAGAACACCATGGCACAACATCAATATAGCATTAGCCATTTGGCCCATTTATGTATGATGTCCAAGCAAATAACCTCGGCTGCTTTCCACCCTGCTACTTTCTTCCTTCTTCCTGCTTTCCACCCTACACATCTGCTGCCCTTAACTAAAGTCCTAATCACAGTCATAGAACTCATCTTTCCAAAATTAGCTTGGACAGGGATCGTATCAACTTTGACCTAAAAGCCTGGAGAGGACATTATGATAGGCAATCAGAAGCGTTTAAGGAGGTACCCATCGGAAACTCTCCCCGAGAGCATTCGGGATTGGGAGAATGGCCTCAAGATGGGGGCTTTGGGAAGAGAGTTGTAAAGGTGGGAGTTGCCCTACTGGTGTAAGAGGTGTGTGATATATAGGAAGAGGAAAAGCATTAAAGTGTGGCACTTTTAGCTCTCCAAGTTACTGAATCCGTGTAAAGAAGTCATTGAAGAGGGACTGACTTGGCCTTGTCCTTCCTCGAGTGCTATCTCTGCGGCAAGTGTGTTCAGAGGTGAACAGCTAGTTGAGTAGGGAAGTACAGAAAGAGAGAGGCTGTTTGATTCTGACCAAAGTGTTGGAATACAGTGATGAAGCTGCACATGGTGGGAAGGTGTCGTTTGTGGGGGAGGAGGGTTTTTATATGGTTCAGAAAAGGAATGAGGACTGATGTGGGTGTGTGAAGAGAGTCCCCTTTTTTTTGGGTCAATAATGCATGTACTGCAAAATGTTTGATAAAAGCCCCAAAGAGAATATGGAATCCATTGTACTGATCAAACTATTATTAATTCAGAAATGTTCTACCAACATGCAGTTGTGGCATTAAATCTTACACTTCAGGGTATGTATGTGGTAGATTCTCTCCCTTCCTCTCTTGGAATATATTGTAGTTTGTGACTATTTTGACTCTCATGCAAAATAGGGCATGTGCAGTGCAGTGCATGCACGTACAAGCAGTCATAGAATATAAGCTTTCTTTCTTTCTAGACATCAAACTTGCAGCAATAGTAAGTGCAACTATTATATCTATTCTATTCTCTTTGTAATTCCCTATCACAAGATCAGTTCCTTCCATCTACTGATTGCCGAGTCAGATAAAAAGGAAATGTGAAGAACATTTACCTCATAATCCATGATGTAGCTGCTGATAGGGGAGAGAGAGAGAGAGTCTTGTTTTCGGACGTCAACGAGAGATGCCAGGTTTCATAACACCAAGTGCAGCTTCAGATTGGAAGTCCATCGAGAGGATCCAAGCCTGGCATGTCTGAGACACGAAAGGTTTCCATCATTGCACTTACGTTGTCTAAAAGCATTATTTATCATGAACAAACCCAAAAGTATATATATGTCATAAATATTCTTTTCAGAATAAATGTAAAGGAACCTAAGAAAAAAATTCCATGCATAAGATCAGAGCATATAGAGTTCATTCTTAGCTAGAATATCTGACCTTTACCAGGTGCTCAGAACATAAACAAAACTAGAATAAGAATAATAATAAAAATTATTTCTGAAGCACTGATGGATATATATATATATATATATATATATATATATATATATATATATATATATATATATATATATATATTACCTAAAAGTTACACAACTATCGTTTAATTCCAAAAAAAGAAAAAGAAAAAGGTCACTTGCTTATGCAATGATCTTGAAGACCAAATAATGGAGCTTTACTCTGCAACAAGCTCAGGATCATTAGGAGAGGGAACTGAGTCCAGCTTGCAAAATATAGTAGTACCCAATTAGAGATGAACCATTCATATCAAAGCTCAATGATCTCTCTAAAATGCATGATATGCTTTCAAGCAGCCTAAACATCGAACCGAGATTTACAGATAGACAAATGCATGAGATATCTACCAATTGCAGAGTCTAGCAAGAATCAATGTGTGAAATGTTATTGCTTATGTGTTTAGAAGTAAATAATATACAAATTCCTTAAGAAAATGGATCCTAGCAATTCGAGAGTAGAAAATACATCAATATCCGAATCTCTACCTGCTGTGAGGGCCCAAGAAAGATGTGTTTACTGCCTATCAGATGGGCCCAAAGAAATGCATCATCATCTTTTCTCTTCTTTTTTTATTTTTGTTTTAATTCAAAAGTAAGACAAGTATATTACTTAGTTAAATGAGTACAAGAAGTCTCTTATTCATCCAAATACAACATATGAACAAAATTTAGCTCTATATTCATGTGTGTTCAAATTTAACTTCCATAAAGAACTCTAAATATCTAAAAACATCACTAATAATATTTGGATTCGACAAGAGAATGTGTGTTCAAGTCCGGTTTACGATATTCAAATATCTAGATAATTAAATATCTAAAATAAAAACCACCAATACCATTATCCTTTTCAGTATTATCTAATAGTTATACAAAAACAAAAAATATTTAAATTTGATAAAAATATTTTTCTTCCAGAATATCGAATAATTATATAATCCAAGAAAAACACCCGAGTCACCCAAAAACACGGAGACTGATGTCATCATACACGGAGGATTTGGACTCTTACAGTGTGTGATATGCTCTCCTTCGGCTCCCGCCGTCCACACCTTGCGGCCCACAGACGCAAAACAACAAATGGTTAACGGGCAGACGGCAGAAGCAACAAGCGTCGGCGAGTACACCACCACCGTAGGTGGCCGGACAAGCGTCTAAAACCAAGGCAGAAACTTCTTCTCCCGAACACTGAAACTTCGAAAAAGGGTCTGCTCCGTTGACCACGGTCGAAGAGGTTAAACCATTTCGAGTGTGGACGCAGACAAAAAGGGTTTGGTCATGCGAGGCCAAAAGCAGCGACCGTGGACTTGACGACACGCTCTCTCATGCCTACGACGTTTACCTAACTAATGATTGCGTTTAAATTCTTGCACAAACTTCGATTGGCATTAGTAATAATTGATGAGATTTACATATTTTGGATCATGTGATTTAGGTTCAATAAATTAATGTGTCAGATATCATAATTATGATAATTTTAAGTTTATGTTATTGTTTAACCACTAAGATATCTTATTAGAGACGCATTAATTATATATTATTTTCAAAAATTATATTGGATCTTTATATTTTGGAAAGTAAATCAAAATTCTACTGACGAGTTAGTGGTAAATGATATGATTTTTTCGTCAGAAAAATTAATAATATAACGAAAAATAAAATTAAATATTTTTAATTTTATAAATATAAGAATTTTAATGTAACTTTTAAAAATATAAAAATCAAAATACTATAGATAACAACTAATTATAAGAAATAATCTATAATTAATCTATTAACTTGCTGGAGACCATGAATTCGTTAATATTTGTTATCATTTTTAGTAAAATTGAACGAAATAATCTTATATCGCATTTTTTATACCGACAAAAATATTTTCTTGGAGACCAACAAGCTTTGCTTTGAGATCGATGTCATTCGTCGAGGAGGACTCGAATCATGAGTCTCTTTTGGGGTTGCTCAGTGTGTACGGAAATTGTTTCCATATATCCGAGAAATTAGCCAGAAACTGACCTGCAAAAGCCACGTCGCTTGACAAAACAATGTTCGCCTTCGGCCACACCTTGCATTCCACAGACACAAAACAACAAATAGTTAACGGGCACACAACGTGTACAGTCCGCGAACACAAAAACAACAGCGGGGTTGGCAAGCATACCGCTGTTTCTGGCTGATCCGACGCCGATCGACACGCGTAGACGATGCCGACGGCTTACGCACGTTGAAAATTGATGGCAGCAACTTCTTCCCGAGCTCACTGGATTGGACAAAATGCTATCACTCAGCTGAAAGCTAACCCCTTGACTGCATTAGCGATCACAGAACTGCCTTAACCTTTTCAGCTGTGTGGACGGAGAAAAAAAGCTACGACCATTGACTGCAAATCCTCGAGAACGCGGAGTTAACATTCATGTTTTCGTGGCTAACGATCGCATTCATACTCTTATAGCACCATCCCCTTCGTTAATCAAGTTTGGGATTGGGTTCCTCGATTGCGTGGACTTGGTTCACCGCTGTGGGGCCATTGGAACTCAGGGATGGCCCACCTTGAACTCCCCAAGACCGAGCAAACGATCAGCCAAATCAAAGAATGCATTCTATTTTCTGCCCGTTTCGAATATACCCGAAAATATACCTGCCTTATAATCGGAGGAAATGGTAGGGTTTAATCTTCGACCAACCATCAGGCGAGTGGCAGGTATGGGCGAGATTGTAACAGAGGTGGTGGATATGCGGAACACAGCCAGCGTGGCGGTAAACGCAGGGGACGACGACTTCCTCTATTTCTCTCCCTCCCCACGACCGACGTCACCGATATCTTTAATCCTTCGTGCGTTGCCTTCGCTGCTGTTACGTCTGAAGGCGCGCAACCGCGTGTGCCCACCGAGAAGGCTCTCGGAAATGGAGGTAGGCATCCCCTCGTTCCCTCCTCCCCCATATATCCCAGCAATTCCCACGTAGGAGCCACAAGCGAACCCAATTCCAAGCTTCAGGGAAGCAGTAATCCAGGAGTGGAGGAAGAACAGAGCCTGTGTCTTCGTTCCCTTCTCTGTGACGTAATCTGCTGCTTGCATGGGCGTTCTTTCGAAGGTGCTCGCCGATCTCCGGACCCGAGTGGGCAGCATCGACCGGGAGCGGCCTGTCGTCGGGATCCTTGCCTTTGAGGCGGCGGCCGCCATGGCACGCCTCATCTCCCTATATCGCTCCCTCGACGACGACGAGGTCCGCCGGCTTCGCACCGACATGCGGTCCCAGGGCGTGACCTACCTGACTTCCAAGGACCAGGCCTTCCTCCTCCGTCTCGCCTGCGCCGAGCTGGTCGACGAACTCGACAGGGCTGCTGCTGCGGTCGCCCGATTCGGCCACAAGTGCTCCGATCCACTCCTCCGGGGCTTCGATCGGTTATACGCTGACCTCAAGGCCGGCGGGATCTGCTTATTTCTCCGCGACGGCAGGGCTGCCGACCAGGAGCGCTTCGGGCTCGGCGCGAACGTGAAGAGTGTCGAGAAGTGGATTAAGAGGATGGAGAGGTACGTCGCGGCGACCTCGCGGCTGTACGCGGAGATGCAGAGTCTGAACGAGCTGGAGGCCTCGGAGCGGCGGATACAGCAGCAGTGGCGGCGGCATAGTGGGCCGATCCCGGTGCAGAAGCCGGGTGTAACCCCCGCCACCCACCCCGTCCAGCTCGATCTCCGGTCGCAGCGCCAAAAGGTTCGGCGGCTCAAGGACGAGTCCCTCTGGAGCAAGACCTACGACAAGGCGGTCGATCTTATGTTCCGCGCCTTGATCACCGTCTTCGCCAGGATCTGCGTCGTTTTCGGCCCCTGCGTCCTGGGTTTCCCCGTCGGCCGCGACAGAAACCACAGGGTCCTGATGCTCCAGAGCAACCTAGATTACCCGGGCAAGTACTCGTCCGGGCCGCTGGAAAGACTGGCGGCGAAGGGTGTAACTTCCCTGAGGAATTCAGCTCCAATATTCATGAACAAGGGAGCGCTCGACAAGCCGTGCGAGAGCTTGGGTAAAGTACTGGAAGCTGCTCCAAACACCGTCGGGGGATCTGGACTGGCTCTGCGATACGCCAGCGTGATCGTGCTGGCGGAGAAGTTGCTGACGATAAAGTCAATCGAGGGACACGGAGCGCAGGAGGAGGAGGAGGAGGCGAAGGAAGAAGCCGCGGCTGTCGCGAGGGAGGAGATGTACCAGATGATGCCGTTGGGGATGCGGGGGACGGTGAGGGCGAAGCTGGGGGAGTGCTGGAGGCGGGAGGGTGGGACGACGGACGCGTCGCTGGCGGAGGGGTGGAAGGAGGCGATTAGCGCCATCCTCGCCTGGCTAGGGCCGGTGGCACACGACACGCTACAGTGGCAGGAGGAGCGCAACATGGAGCGGCAGCAACGGTTCCACACCAGGCCGCGGGTGCTGATTCCGCAGACGCTGCACTTCTCCGACAGGGAGAAAACCGAAACCGCCATCGTCGAGGTTCTCGTCGGGTTGAGCTGCATGTGCTGGTACGAGGAACGGGGACCCGAGTCTCTCAGGTTCTAAATCGCCTCCGAGCTGAAGATTACAGCTAGGATCAAAGACAACTACTCTCGATTCGTTTGATTGCATTCTTCGGCAACTCTTGTTCTTGAATACATTACAACGTTCCTGAATTCAAGTTCAAGACGGTGGGAGTGATCTGCATTCATGCACACAAGAGTTTGGGAAGTATGATGTCGTATGCTTATCACAGGGAAGGAGATAGCTACACCACTAGTCTCATCTTCCTTTCTGATAGATTCATGATTTCCTTGTTCTTTGTTGATTTGTTACACATAAGAATTCTTGGAAACATTTCTGGATGAAGTATTATTATAATAGAGTTCCTTTGATGTGTTCAGCATAGGGAAAAGGATAGCACTACAACCTTCATCTCCTTTCCTGATAGAAAAAAACCAGGAGAGACAAAACAAGAACAATAATAATAAAGGAAAACAAACAAGATCCAGTCTTCTTGTCTTGTTCTTGTGATAATAAAATGCTGCAGAGACACATCACTTTCAAGAACTGTGACACTGGAACCAAACCTTACTTTGACTTTGCTACAAAATCCCAGCCAGCTTGTCATCCCTAAAACTCGATGGATCTGGTCAAATCACTTGAACTTTGATGACATCTTGCCTAACTCAAACTAAGATTTCGGTGGGCAGCCTTCACTTTTTTCCGGCATTCAGCTGCCCACATGTCTTGCCAAGGGATATATAGCTTTGCTGATGTCTCAGCTAATCCATCTTTCGGCAAAGCCAGTTCTCTGTCACATCTGAGACCTAAATGCTTGGAGAATAAAGGTCACATCTTGCAAAGCCAATGGAATCAGCATAACCAGGATGACAAGTTTCATGGCTGTAGTCAGGAATGCTTTAACCAAAGTCATGGCAGTGGAGAATGTTTGATGCATTGGTCATCAGCAAGCATCGAAACTTTCTTCCTTTCGTGGAACCACATCTGCAAAGTAAGCTATTATTTACTACTCACTTAGAAATCTCTGATACACGATGTCCACCACCACTTAATAAAGAGCTCGCCCTCTCCATCATAGAGAAAGTAATAGCCTCTGATTCATCTCAACCCAGCAGGTATTGGATTGTGATGATGCAACTCCTAATTGGGATTCAAGGTGAGATGAAACATTCATTCTTTGGATATGCAAACATTGACATTCGTGTGGACTTTACATCTGATTTGATATTTATATCCATTTAAACAAACATTTGATGAGCTCAGAATTGGTCGTTTATGCTACCACATCAACATTCAAGTTAATCTACACAGATCCAATGATCAGAAGGATGGAATTATTCCGATGTCCATATCCCTATTTGATCCGTTCCCACCGATATGTACGCTTGTCTAAGTGGAATCCTTCTTACTCTGACTTCAATTATTCTTTCTCTTGCGTGCTATCGGATTGAATTCACACAGTTGACGAATTCCAAATGGGTGCTAAGCAGGAACAAGTCCATGATTTGGAGGATGATGATGTATTCAATTTAATTGGGTCCTTAATTATATGACCCAATCTGGTTGAGTCCGTCACTCAACTCGATTGAATTTGATCCGACCTGACGTAGCAGCGTAATCCTGATCCGATCCGTTACGCAGTCGGATCGGGTAAATGTTACCTGAGGGGGGTCGGGTCGCGTTTGATTCTATGTGAAGTCTCGATCCGACCCATTTCACTAATAAATCGGGTGGATATTAACGGAGGCGATCGCATCGCGTCTCTCCAAAGAACCCATATCCCCCAATGGGCCTGAGATACTCGACGCGTGGGCCCGGGCTTCTTTGCGGATGCAAACCTATTTATATTCTGCGCTTAACTCCCGGGCTCTCCCGTCCGCGATCCCCCGTCCTTGCCATCCCTCTCCATCGGTGCTCGCCGAGCTCCGAAGAACGCCCCCAAACCCTATTCCGCGAGTCCTCGTAGCCCCTGTTCCCGCCGCTCATTCATTCCTTCCAGGGATTCTTGCGCCGTTGCCGAGAGCGATCGATCGCCGGGAATGGCGACCAACGTCCCCTCCGTCTATATCCATGTTGTGGACGATGTCATCAACAAGGTCCGAGAGGAGTTCATCAACTACGGCGTCGGGGAGGGCGTCCTTAACGAGCTCCAGGCGGTAATTTCTTCTCTCTATGGTGACGGGGCCGTCATTTCCCTATAAGATTTCTCGATGTTTCTAGGGTTTCATCAGGGTAGTTCCGTACTATGGACTTATTGTGGTTCGCGAATCTAGTTATGGGAGATGAAGATGAAGCAGTGTGGCGCCATCGGTGACAGCATTGAGAGGTCGTCCCTCCCGAAGATTGCAGCCCCGACTCCGGTGCGCGATCTGAATGTTCCGTACGAGGGTCCGACCGAGGAGTATGAGACCCCTACCGCGGAGATGCTTTTTCCTCCGGTGCGCTCACCGCCCTTTTTCTTTTTGGTCAATTCGATAGGCTGCGTTAGTTTTTGTGAATATTTGGGTATTCTTGCAGACTCCCTTGCAAACCCCAATCCAGACTCCTCTGCCTGGAACTACTGATCCGTCGATGTACAACATACCCACAGGACCCTCCGATTATGCGCCATCTCCAATTTCTGACATCCGAAATAGCATAGATTTGAAAGCTGGAAGGCCTAGTCCGTATATGGTATGGCAATGTCTTAGATATATGAGTATTTTTAGTCGGTTTTCCATACCATATATCTTCATTTGTTTGCTTAGTGCCATAAGTTGCTCTGGTTATGATCATAAATTGTATGTGAAATGACATTTTATTGCTATGCAAATACTTCATTGCACAGCAACCACCTTCCCCTTGGATGAACCAAAGACCTCTTGGAGTTGATGTTAATGTCGGTAAGTATAAAGGA